CCAGATGCCCATTTTTAAAATTGGCCTTTAAATCTAGGAGGATTGGTTTTTTTGAGTTCTTTACATATTCTCAATAGTAATCCTTTGTCTGAAGTACAGATGGCAAGCATTTTCTCCCACGTTGTACATGGTCTCTTCACTCTGTTGGTGGTTTCTCTTGTGCAAAAGCTTTTCAATAGGGTGAGATCCCATTTGTTGATTCTTTTTGATGGTTCCTGTGCAACGAGGGTTTTGTTCATAAAGTCTTTGCCTACACCAGTGTCTTCAAGAGTTTTACCTACTCTATCTTCCAGTAGATTTAATGTTTTTGTTTTATATTAATATCTTTGATCCATTCTGATTTTAGCATAATACGTGGTAAAAGAATGGGTCCAGGTTTAATCTTTGGCATGTGCAGAGCCAGTTTTTCCAGCACCATTTATTAAAGAGGATTATCTTTCTTCCAGTGAATGTGTTTGACACCTTTTTTTTTTTTTTTTTTTTTTTTTTTTGGTCTTTTTGAGACAAGGTTTCACTATGCAGTTCAGCCTGGCTTTGAGCTCACTTTGTAGCCCAGGCTGGTCTCGAACTTGCAACGGTCCTCCTGCCTCAGCCTCCCAAGTGCTGGGATTACAGTATGTGCTGACCGGCGCAGCTCCAATGAAACAGAAGACAGGAGACGCTTTTGTGGACGACAGTTAACTGCTAGTTTATTTACGCGGGCTCTGGTTTATATATTCGGCCGTGACCAATCACAGGCTGCCACAAGGAAGCAGGGCGGGAATGGGATGTAGGCTCCGGCTACTATATCCAGCTGTGGCCAATCAGGAGTGGCCACAGAGTATGGAGTGAGCACGAAGTGCACACGGGTTGGCTAATTTAAAGAGGGAGGTAGCGCATTGCGGAAGCTGGCGTGGTCCTTAGTCCCGGGTGGGGTATGGTATGTTGAGCGCCTGCGCCCAACAATGTGCCACCATGCCTGGCTCTGTGTTTGGCACCTTTGTCAAAGATAAGGTGACCTAGTATGTCTGGGGTTGTTTCTGCATCTTCTAATCTGTTCCATTGATCTTCAGGTCTTTTGTTTTGTTTTGTTTTGCAAGTACCACATTATTTTTATCACAGTAGCTTTATTGTATAATTTCAAGTCAGGGATTGTGATGCCTCCTGTCTTGTGTTTGTTACCCATGATTGTCTTTGCTATTCTAGATCTCTTCTGGTTCCAGATGAATTTTAGGATTGTTTTCTCTAATTCTGTGAGCTATGCTATTGGAATTTTGATTGGGATTGCATTGAGTCTGTATAACAGTTTTGGAAGTATGGCCATTTTCACTATATTGGTTCTTCCTACCAAAGGGCACAGGATATCTCTCCATTTCTAATATCATCTTCAAACATTTTTTCAGAGTACTGTAGTTTTCAATGTAAGGTTTTACATCCTTTCTTAGATTGATTTCTACGTATTTCATTTTTTGGATGTTATTGTAAAAGATATTATTTCTCTGATTGCTCTCTCAGTGAGTTTGTTATTTGTGTACAGGAAGGCTATTGATTTTTGAGTGTTGCGTTTGTAACTAGCTATGCTGGACAATTTGCTACAGTCTGTTTGCCAGTATCTTATTGAGGATTTTGGCATCAATGTTCATTAGAGAAATTGGCTTGTAATTATCTTTCTTAATTGGGTCCTTCTCTGGTTTTGGTATCAGGGTATTGCTTGCTTCCAGGAATGAATTTGGGAATATTGCTTCCCTTTCAATTTCATTAAAGAGTTTGAGAAGTAGGGGTGTTAGGTCTTCTCTAAATTTCTTGTAGAATTCAGCAGTGAATCCGTCAGAGCCTGGACTTTTCTTTGTTGATAGGTTTCTAATTATATCTTCAATTTCATTGATTGATATTGGGCTATTTGGATTTTTATAGCTTGATTTAACTTTGGTAATTCATATGTATCTAGGAATCTGTCCATTTCTTCTATATTTTCCATCTTATTAGAATACAAGTTTCCAAAGTAGGTGTAGATGATTTTCTGAATTTCTGCAAGGTCTGTTGTGATTTCACCCTTTTCATTCCTAATTGCATAAATTTGAGTCTTTTCTTTCCTTTTATTGATAGAGTTGGCTAAGGGTTTCCCAATTTTATTTAATCTTTCAAAGAACCAATTCTTCAGTTCATTGATTCTTTGTATTTTTTTTTTAGTCTCCAGTGTATTAATTTCTGCTCTGATCTTTATAATTTTCTCCCTTGTAAGAACTTTTAGTTTAGCCTGCTCTTCTTTTTCTAGAAGTTTGAGATTCACCATTATTTGCTCATATGTGCTTTCTGTTTTTCTGATATGGGTATCTACTGTTATAAATTTGCCTCTTAGGAATGCTTACATTGTATCCCACAAGTTCCAGCATTTGTATTGTTATTATCATTCAACTGTGAAAACTGTCTAATTTCTTTTTCCTCTCCTCCTCCTCCCCCTCCCCCACCCCCTCCCCCACCCCCTCCCCCTCCCCCTCCTCCTCCTCCTCCTTCTTCTTCTTCTTGTGGTACAATGGATTGAACCCATGACCTTGCACTGCCAGGCAGGCACTTATGCCACTGAGCTAAATCTCTGGTGTCTAATTTCTTCATTAATTTTATCTGTGACCCATTGGTTGTTCAGGAGGATGCTATTTAATTTCCACGTGTTTATGAAGTTCTTGTGGTTTCCTTTGGCATGGACTTCCAATTTCATTGCACTGTGTCTGATGGTATGATGGGATAATTTCAATTCCTTTGCATTTACTTAAGCATGTTCTGTGAGTCAGTATATGGTCTATTTTGGAGAATGTTTCATGTTCAACTGAGAAGAATGTGTATTCTGATGTTGTGGGTTGGAACATTCTATAGACATCTACTAAGTCCATTTGTTCAAAAGTGTGATTTAGTCCGAACATTGCATTATTCATTTTTTGTCTAGTTGATCTGTCTTTTTGTGACAGTGGGGTATTGAAGTTTCCCAATATAATTGTATTAGAGCATATTTGATTTTTCACATCTGTTAGTAATTATTTTATGTAGTTGGGTACATTGGGATTTGTTGCACATATATTTATGATTGTAATCTCTTCCTCTTGAATTGTTCCCTTTATGACAATATAGTTCTGGGTTCTGAACTCAGCTGGCCCTTCTCTAAAATGACTCCCAGCTAATCACTCTCTCTCATGGGAGAACTAGGTCCTCTGCACTCACCACCAGCCAGTGCAGACCTCTCTGCAGAAGCCTCCGAGGTCACCAGCTGTCACAGTCACCGTGAGTGGGCGTTCCATTTTTACACAGCTCCTCTCATGCAGTGAATCCTGTCTCACAGTGAAGGTGCCACTGGCTACTGCATTCTTCTTCCTGGAAGTTTTTCTTTTCACTCTCCTTGTGGGCTTTAATTCATACTTCAGATTCTTCCTGGATCCAGAGGACCCACTTCCTTCCTTCTTGTCTTCCTCATGATGCCATATTCCAACATCTGGATGGTGACTCTCAAAGAGGCTGTTTTTTCTACTGCTTTCTGCTCTGCCGTCTTCCTGGAAGTCTTGGCTGGTCATTCTAAACACTGAACAGTCTGTCCTGAAAAGTTTGTGTTTTATGTTTCTTTTTTTTTTTTCAGACTATACTCATAAGTGATGTTTCTTTTTTTTGACACATGATTTCACTGTCTGAACTTGTGGCCTTGAACTTGTGCTAATCCTTCTATTTTTGCCTCCCTAATGTTGTACCCCAAAACAAAGCCCCAAGATATTAATCAAAAATGGGGGGGGGCCAAGATGTCTTTAAAAGAGTGCTTTATTTAAGCTGGTTTCCAGCGGCACAGTGCAGATGGAGTTTGCAAAGCTGTGCAACTGGGTTAGAATTTTGACAGATTTTTATAGCTCATTTATGATTAGCTCATTGACCACTTAAGTACATAGCAATGAGAAACAGAAACAAGGTGGGCCTTTATTTGTTTCTCTTTGCTTGAGGTCAGAGGCACTTCACAGTGGGTGGTTAGCCAATTCATAGCCCTTGGTCTGCCAATTCCAGGAACATTTTTCTCTTATAAAAGGAACAATGGTTGACACAGCATCATTTATCTCTTACAAAAGGAACTAAGGTTGACAGAGCAAACAGGTTTCTCAGGGGACGACGCATACAGAACAGTGTGATGATACAGTCACTCTATAACTATGTGGTTGGTGCTTCATGGTTACTAGGGTAATGTGCACAGCACAGAATGACAATACTGCTAATAACTTTTTAATTAACTATTTTTGCTAATAACTATCTTTTTAACTTTGCCTTTTAGTTTTTTAGCATTTTAGTACAACACCTAACACTGAGATTGCACCACCACATCCAGTGAACTCCATTTTAAAAATTTCACTAAATTGACAGAGTGCACAGGTGTGTTTTCCTAGGATAAAGGAAGGCTTTTCTCTCTTTCCTTTATTTTTTTTTTTGTTGGTTTTTTGAGACAACATCTCACCATGTAGCTAAGCCTGGCCTTGAACTAGCTAGGTAGCTCAGCTGGCCTCAAACTCAGGGCAACCCTCCTGTCTCAGCCTCCCTCCAGCTGAGATTACCATTGACTTGGAACCCAGGAGGCAGCAGATCATCATGAAGACTCTGGCCATCCACAGTGAGGTGCGGATTCTTCAGAAGAGGAACCACAGTAAGGACAGAGGAAGGCTGCTGGGAAGACAGAAAAGCCAGAGTGGTGGGTCCTGTTGTCTGGTGAGGCCAGGAGGTTTACATCTGCAGATCCCACCCTGGAAGTACAGCATTTGGATCTGGCCTTCAGCTCTGAGAGGCCACGGAAGCAGACTGGTAGCTCCACAGTGGGGTTTAACTTTTGTTAACTCTTGGAACTGAACGCACAAGGATCTGTGGACTACATTTCCCCAGAGCCATCGCAGTGATTGACAGCTCCGTCACCCAATAGACGTGAAGAGTTTCCAGTCATGGTAACAGAAAAGCCAATGGGAAGGCCCTAGAGGCGGTATTTTCAGGCCTCTAGCTGTAAAACCCAGAGTCCCACTGCTCTGTCACTAAATCTCAGTTGGGTTCTAGAAAGGACTGGCTGCGCCGCGGGCTGGGCGCGGCTCGGCCGCGGAGGACTCTCACTTCCTGTTTCATCTACGCCAAGGATGCTGGCTTGGCTTGGGGCGGTGAGTGAGCCCGGACCGGAGACCGCAGCCTAGAGGCGTGGAGGGGGGCGGCGCGGAAGGGATGAGGTCTACACCGCGAGGGGGAGCGCGTCCTTCTGCTCTGCCTGTTCCTCAGCGGTGACCCTCTGTGGCTTCCTGTCTTTTGGGACCCTGTGGCCGCCTGGAGCACTGCGAGGAAGAGCCGCTGTAGGCCACACCCAGCCGTCACAGTCGTATTCATAACCCCTGCGAGCCACAGCCCCTAGCGCCTCGAGGCTTCAGGTAACACCTGCACCCCAAAGAATTCTAAGATTTGTCTGTCAATCGCGAGAGGGCTCTGCCCTTCGGAGTTTATGAGAAACACAGACATGAAATCTATACTCAAATCTCTTCTTAAATTTTTTATTCCCTAAGGCACTATTTTAATTGTTAAAACGTTAAACAAGAGAAATGAAATGTGTTCATATAGTTTTTTTTTTTGGGGGGGGGTCCTTGAACACTCAGTAAATGAACAATAGCAATGTCAATTAATACATAAAATTTTCCATGGAAAGTTTATATGTAGGTGTAGGTAGTAGACAGTTTTTGTTTGGTTGGTTTTGTTTTTATCCTTTTGAGTCGGGGTCTCTCTATGCAGTTCAGGGTGGCCTTGAGCTCACTTTGTAGCCCAGGCTGGTCTCAAAATCACAGTGATCCTCCTGCCTCAGCCTCCCAAGTGCTGGGATAAACAGGTCCTTTGATTGGTGGGGTAAAAGATACGAAAGACTGGAATCTTGCGAGGGGGATTTAGCTTCAGCAGCATAACTGCCTGCCTGGCAAATGTGAGGTTGTGAGTTCAATCCCCGGTACAAAAAAAGAGACTGGAATTTCCTCTCCTAGATTAATTCTCCCTCCACTGAGATGCAGAATTCTTTGTAAGTGGTAATGGATTAACTGGGTAACTTTTTTTTAAGCATTATTTTATTTTATTTTATTTTATTTTTCAAATCCATTTTATTTCAAAGAGAGGAAAAAAAAAACAAAACAAAAAAACGAAATTCCAAAACACATCAATCAGGGGCACCAGTGGTACATACATTGCACATTGTCATCCCCAAATCATAGGATGAAAACTTGTTTTTAAAAAAAATTTTTTTTGAGACAGGGTCTCACTATATAGTTCAGGATGTCCTGTGTAACCCAGGAAGGCCTTGAACTCCTGACAATCCTCCTGCCTCAGTGTCCTGAGTGCTGGGATTATTGGCATGCAACAATACAGCTAGTGTTACCAAATACTCTTTAAGAGAGAAACATATTTCTTTGTGATATCTAATGCCTTACATTGTATTAGTTGCTGAATGAATTGCTGATCCATTCAATAATGAACACTGACCATGCTCCCAAACATAATTGCTTTATGATAGTGCAGTTAACTTTTAAATGTAATGATAGTTTTCAGTCCATAGGGGTTATGTTTTGTGCTTCTCCATTGGATTTTACTTATTTTTATGTTATCCATATGGTTTTTTTGTTTGTTTGTTTGGGGTAGTGTGTGTGTGTGTGTGTGTGTGTGTGTGTGTGTTTGAAATAGGGTCTTGCCACATCTCCCAGGCTGGCCTTGAACTCACAGTGATCATCCTGCCTCAGCCTTCTGAGTGCTGGAAATCACAAGTGTGCACCACACTACTTGGCTCCTATGTCTTTTTTTCTTCATCTCTCTCTTTTTTTAAAACCCATGTCTTTTTAATTCTCCCTTTGGACTCTCTTTAAATCTTGAAATAGAATGGTACCCAGCACAGTTCCTCCTGGGGTTCTGTAGTGGCAGAGAATAGAAAGCTTTCCAGAAGTTGAATTATATCTGCAAACTTTGTCCTTTATTGAATCCCTTATGGAAACTTTATCTCAGAGTTAATGTATGCAAAAGCCTGAAGGTCCTCTATATGTATTTGAGAGGTTCAGGCCTCTCTTAGTGGAGAAAGTTGGCCATAGGGAAGGATTACTTTTTATAAAAACTGAAGAAGAGTGGCACACACCTGTAATCCTGGCACTTGGGAGGCTGAGGATTCCAGGAGAATTGCTGGAAATTTGAGGCCAGACTGGGCTATGCAGTTCAGGATCACCCTGAGCTACATAGTGAGGCCTGGTCTCAAAAAAAACAAACACAAAAATACCCAAAACACAGAATAAGAAAAGAAACCCTCGTGTGGTTGACAGATTACCTCAGGGCTCTTCTAGTCCTTTTTGTTTGTGTATCCTAGTGTTTACCCTCTGGATTTCCAACACAGTGAATAGCTAAGGAGCTATTGGTGCATATTGATGTCTTGTTTTAGAGACTGAAGACCCTCAAACATATGGCTGTGGACTTCAGGGAAGAGTGGGTTACCTGGACACTGCTTGGAGAATCCTGTTCAGGGATGCCACCCAACTTGGTTAGGAGAATGGGCTCTCAGAGGGTAAGGGTGCTTTTCTTGTCTGTCTGTCTGTCTGTCTGTTTTGAATTCCCTGTGTAGTTCAGTGTGGCCTTGAACCCGCTATGTAGCTCAGAGTGGCCTCCAACTCATGGCAGTCCTCCAATCCTGTGTCAGCCAGGCAGTACTACTATCCCCAGTGCTTCCCCCTTAGACTGAAGACTTAGAGACCCAAGAGGTCTCAGGCCTGTGGACCTTGGTTTCTTAGGAAGCCAGGCCTCTGTGAGATTTAATTGTTGCCTCCCAGACAGAAAAGGATTATCTCCCATCTTTATGGTACTCTATGTTCTTAATGTTTATTGCTCTCTCAATAGCTTACATAACTCTGTGAGAGTTGTGCTTCTCTTCTGCTTTTCCAGCTAACAAGCCTGACATTCAGAAGCTGCAAAGTTGAAAGCATAACCCAGGACCTGAGGAAATGAAAGAACCGATGTTTTTCCCTGAAACTTGAAAACAAACAAAAATTACTTCTGGGCTCTTTCTACAATATTTAGATAGGCCAGGGATGTAGCTTAGCAGTAGAGCCCTTGCTTAGAATACTCAAGGCTCTGGGTTGAACAGAACAATCAATGCACCCATCCCATGGCTCCCCTTACCTTCATAGCTACTCCACATGTCATATGTCATTGCTATAACTCAAATTTCTTTGGTTAAAGGTAAGCTTAAATGTTTTTCATATATTTAAAAGCTGTTTGTGTTTTTCTATTTATTTACTTTTTTTGTTTTTGTTTTTTTGGTATTGGGGATCGAACTCATGACCATGCGCTTGCAAGGCAGGCGCTTATGCCTTGAGCTAAATCCCTGGCCCCATTTACTTATTTTTGAGACAAGGTCTCGCTAAGTGGTCCAGGCTGGCCTTGAACTCAGTATGAAGTTGTGGCTGGCTTCAAACTCAAGGCCAGCCTCAGCTGCAGCCTCAGCCTCCCAAGTGCTGGGATGACAGGCGCACAGCACCACACCTAGCTTGTATTATTTTTCTCTTTCTCATGGCTCTATCACCTGTTGCCATTCTGGGAAAATTTTAAGCCTAATCTTATAGTTAACTTCCTTGATTCTTTCCCAGGGTGAGGTCAAGGGACTTTTGTTTCCAATAACATTACTTCTCTGTCCAAGTTTAGCCTGGTGCCTTCAGAAAAGAGTTATGGTACACCTAAGCATGGCCTCTGTGCTGCCTGTGTTCTCGACCTAGCGAGGAAGGAGAGCTGGGCTCGGCCTCACCACCTCCGTCCCACCTCCGTTGTCCTCCTTCCCTCACAGGATCCCCAGAGCCAGAGCTGTCCCCCGCTGGAGCAGTGGGAGGTGCCATGGATCCTGCGGCTCCTGAGCTCTGAGGCCAGGACAGTCCTGAGGGAGGTCACCCTGGTGCCATGTGAATGCTGCCTGGTGGGAGGAGGACATCTCAAATTTCAGCCTTTTATAGATGAAGGATTTGGAATGTTTCCCTCTTTATTTTTACAGAAAAAGGAAAAACATGCCTATGGCACGTGAGACCAGACTCTTGCTCTATACTTCTCTTTGTGAGTGTAGCACTGGGGACTTGAATCCAGGGCTATCCCACTGAGCTACATCTCAAGCCTTTTTTATTTTTTAATTTAAGGTAGGGTCTTTCCAAGTTGCCAGGTTCAAACTTGCTGCCCTCCTGCCTCGGCTTCCCAGAGTGCTTCTTGTTATAGAAGTTCACCTTTCAGCCAGGTATGGTGGCGCATGCCAGTAACTCAGCACTCACTTGGAGAAGGTGAGGCAGAAGGATCACCAGTTAGTGAGTTAGTGGACCATATCGCAAAAAGAAAAACGAAAAAGAAGGGCTGGGATGTAGCTCAGTGCGAAGGCCTGTATTTGATTGCTAGTATCATACAAAATAGTTTGCATTTCATTCTTTGACCAGTCAATTAAGAACTGATTGAATAAAGTCTTCATTTTGAGTAAACATTTCACTACTGCCTGAACTATATAACATCTTTGAAAGGAATTTCCTGATTTTTATAATATGTGAATCTCTGTCTCTTCTCTGTCTCTCTCTCTCATCGTGGGGATGGAACCCAGGACTTTTTGTGTGCTGGGCAAGTACCCTGCAGCTGAGCTGCTCGGTGGTCCTTAACAGCATTTCCCAAAGTGAAAAGCAGAGTGCTTACATTAGTTGTAGTCTGCCTCAGAGACAGTCATTTCCATCACTCTTACCACCTTCCCATTCTCTTTTCTGCCAAACGTTGAACTTTTTTTCCGTTGATTTTTCAGACTTTGAGCATCAGGTGACAAAACTCCATCAGGACATTTTTGAAACAGCAGAACACTATGGAAGGAGAGCGCTCTTAGGAAATATTTCTCAAACTGCCAGTTGGGGAGGAAACTGGAGGTGGGCCCTGGAAGTGAAAGGGCCTCAGAGGAGCCTTCCTGGAGAGGACCAGCAGGAGTCCTCTGCCCAGGGGAGAGACTTGAACCAGCTCCTGGGAGGTATGTGGGGCAGCAGCCTGTGTGCACGGAATGTGGGGAGAGCTTTAAGTAGAGGTCCATCTCATGAGGCACCGAAGGACTCACACTGGCCAGAGGCATTACGAGTGCATCGAGTGTGAGAAAGGCTCCAAGCAGAGCCAGACGTTGTCACTTGCCTCAGAACACACACAGGTGGGAAGTCCCGTCAGCGCTGGGAGTGTGAGAAGAGGTTCAGTGACAGCTCGACCCTCACAGACATAGAGGACCCACACTGGGGAGAGGAACTCCACCTCATTGTGCACCAAAGAACACACACAGGAGAGAAGCCCACAGGTGCCTTCAACGTCGTAAGAGCTTTAGTTGAAGCTCACATTTCATCACCCACCAGAGGATCCACATGGGGCTGAAGCCTTATAGGTGCAGTGACTATGAGTGTTTTAGCCAGCGCTCAGCCTTGGTTAAGCACCAACGGACCCACCCAGGGAAGGACCCACGAGTGTGACCAGTACGGGAAGAGCGCTCACTTCACAATGTATTCCGGCAGAAAGCGCATCCTCTGGGCCAGCAGAATACTCATTTGTTTTAGAAAATATTCTTTAGCAGTTCTTTACTCCCTTCTAAATTTCCAGTACTACTGTTTTCAGATCCCTCAAAGGGAAGAAACACAAATATGGGTGGCTCAAATCAGAAGCCAGTCTGTTCTCTTTCCTGTGTTACAATGAGCAGGACAAACTCGGAGCATCCGGATAATGTTCTGAGTGCAAGACATTCCTGCAGTGTGTTAGCCAGCTCGTAGGGAAGTTGGAGTTTAATAGTTGCTGCCCAGTGACTAATGAGAGGGGAGAGAATGTGGGCTGTAGATCTTGTGGAAACCATCGAGGAGGTGCTCGATCTGATGATTAATATTTGAAGGCTTGGGCTGTAAGTGTAGCTCAGTAGCAGAGCACTTGCCTGGCATGCACAAGGCCCTGAGTTTAATTCCTAGTGCTGAAAGCAACCGAGGTCATACAGAAGGCCTTTAATGCAGTGCCTGACCCTTAAAAAGATACTCAGGACAAGCTTAGCTGTTTTTAATCAGCCTTATTAATCAGTCAGGAATTTATTAGTGTATCCACCCCAGTCCAGAATTTGCAAGAAGGTCGATTAGAACCAGAAGGTTTGGGGTCTGAACACATACGTTCCACAAAATGGAAAGTCTCTCCCAGCCTGCTGCTGGGCGGGTATTAGTCACAGTTGTCTCGGCATCGTGACAAAGCAGAATTAGCCTGAAGGATGTTGTGGTTTTGTGACTTAGAGGCTGAAAGAATCTCAGAAGCTCTGGGCACAGCAGTATATGGGAGGTGGGGATTGTTCTGTAGTCATCTGAGGCATAGGAAGACTCCTGCCACAAACCAGCCCAGGGGGATCTGGAGGAGGATTATAAAATCCTGGAAGCAAAACTGCTGAGACTGTGCAGTGATGTCACAGGGCCGCTTCCTGACATTTAACTGAAGGAACTAACTCGTTTGCTAATTTGCTGGATCAGTAGGCCCCTTTGGTTTTAGGTTAGAGCAACTCTGGTCCTTTCAGAGCCATGTATTTTATGGGCCCGTACCTGCCTATATTTAATTGAAATAAGTTGAAGGAAGTCAGTATAGTGTGTTGGACAGGACACCAGCGTCCTTGAGAAACAAAAATATTTGATTCCTGGCTCTGACACTTCATTTTGCCTGACCCTCACCTTCCCTCAGCCCCACGTTCTACCTCCCTTACCTGCCTCACAAGGTGGCAGTGAGGATCTGAAACCCACGCACGCACACACGCTTTGTCGGTAAATTTTAAATGTAATGTCTCCGAAGTTTAATAGTACAGTATCATTGCTATAGTCTATTTCCTCAAGGTCTGGCTCTCTCTTTCAGTGTCCCATATTCTCCTGGAATGAGGGGATTGTCTTTACTGTCTTGAAAATGCTAGTGGAGCCTGGTGGCACCTGTCTACAGGAGGGCCACACAAAGTTCAAGGGTAGCCTGAATTTTAAAATAAAAAAAGAAGAAGAAAAGAGAAAAGAAAACGGCATTGCTAGCTGACATGAGTCATCATGAGTCACACGGTTAGGAGGAGAGCCAGATCTGCTTGCTGGCCACAGACTTCCAGTCTGGAGTCTTGGACAGTGCGGATCTGACCAGCTCTTGGGATTTGCTAGCATGGGTCTGAGACTCTACCTGACCAGAGGACCCATTTCCACTGAGCCCTGAACCTGGCAGTGACAGAGGGAGGTGGCCCGAGTCTCCCTTCCCCTCTCCTCTCCCGCTCCCTCTCTCCTTTCCCTGTCTCCCTCTTTTCCCCTCCCTCTCTTCCTCTCTCTCTCTTTCCCCTCTCCCTCTCTCTGTCTTTCCGCCTAACCCCCTCTCCGTCTGCTTCTCCCTCCATCCCTCCCTTTCTGTCACTTGTTTGTTGAGGAAGCCTAGTTGAACCCTAGTGTATCCCACTATTTTGTTCATAGTATACTATGGGGTTTCTTTAACTTGTGCCTCTTTCCCCTGCTTTCCTGGTACTGGTAACTGGTTCTAGAGGCCTGATCAAATTCAGATATTAATGTGTCAGAAACACTCCACAGAGGACTGAGTGTGTAGCTAGTGATTGAGCACTTGAGTGTCCCGTGCAAGGTCCTAATTGGATCCCTAGTACAGCAAAAGAATAATAATAATAATACTGATGATGATGATAGTACTCCACAGTGACCTGACATCCATCAGGAGATACGTAGTATCATAGTATTATCTTGTCTCTCTTCTTTTTTTTTTTCAAACTTTTCAAATTTTTTATTTTTTATTAGTAAATGTTTGCAATACCTAATGATTACATTCCTCATGAGAATTATTACATGCATATAATGCTTCTTAATATTTTTGTTTTGTTTTTGGTACCAGGCTTCGAACTCAGGACCTAGTGCTTGCCAGGCAGGCACTTATGCTGCTGAGCTAAATCCCAGCCCTTTTGTCTGTCTTCTTGTAATGTCAGCAGCCATTAGCCACTCCTTATTTCATCTGGAATTAGTAAATGGTGACATTTTATTTTATTTTATCTATTTTTTGAGATAGGGTCTCGCTGTGTAGTTCCGGCTGGCCTTGACTCACTATATAGCTCTTAAACTCACAGTGATTCTCCTGCCTCAGCCTCCCAAGTGCTGGGATCACAGGTATGTGCCACCTGGCTGTGGTATTTTATTTCTATGATTCCTCCTTTTTTTCTTAGTTGGAATATTCTATAAAGTAAACTCCCTTTTATCTACTATTTAGTTCCCCTAAGGTAAGACATAACACCATAGCTGCTTAACTAGAACCCTTTGTTTTTTAATATTACTGTCTCTATTTTAGCCCCTGGGACCCAGATCTCTATGCCCCTCCTTTGGGAGATCCTGTTCTTACAGGAAATTTCTATCCATCTGTAAATCTCATAATAACTTTTCAAATGTGCCCTGTTGCTCTTCTCTTACTCCCTCCTGGGGTGTCTAGGTTTACACAAGTCCGAGCTGCAAAGAGCATAGTAAATACTCAAGTGAATCTCTAACTTGTTTCCCAGTAATATCTTGGCCCAAAGCAGGAGAAAAAACTACATCCTTGTTAGCTGGGAGTGGTTTGTATCCTTGTTTTGGTAATGTGAATATAAACCATCTTCCTTTATCTACCCAGGTGTTGCTCTAAATCAACACCATCAGTCTGTCAACAGTTTATAAAAATCTGATGAGAAGGTGGGACCAGAGCCCAGTGGCAGAGCTAAGGAGCAAGTAGCACACGTGAAATCCATGAGTCTGTCTGCACAGGGCTGGGAGTGCTTTGAGCAGGAGGAGCTGCAGAGGAGTGCAGCGGGAATGAGGGCCCTCCGAAGTGAAATTCGGAGAATGCGCACTGGATGGATGTGGGTCCTGAAAGGGTGTTTGGTGAGGGGAGGCAGTTGGAGGACATCTGAGGGATGCAGAAGCTACATTATTCACAAAAGCCCTTAAGGACTGTGATTTGTGCTGTTTGTCTAGGAGCGAGCTGGGGTTAGGTGGAGGATCTGGGAATGCACGGAATCGGAGGTCAGAAGAGGCAGCCTCAAGTTTGGGCAGCTGCTTTGCAGCCCCTTGTCCACGTCAGGTCCATTCACCATGCTAGGCCCCAATCAGAGAGTTGAATCAGATAAAGATCCCTTCAGGCTCTAGCAGTTGACAGACCTGAGCTAGGCATAGTGGTGCATGCCTGTCATGCCAGCACTCAGGAGGCTGAGGCAGGAGAATTGCTGCAAGTTTGAGGCCAGCCTGGGCTACAAAGTGAGCTCAAGGTTAGCCTGAACTGCATAGTGAGACCCTCAAAAAACACATCTCCCACAAACCCGAGGCCTCAATTCCATCCCATGTAGGGGGCAGTTGCTTCCACACATGTACCTTCCTGTTTAGAGAGACCCAAGCCCGTGACCTGGAGGCCTGTCCACTCCAGCTATGGTGCCTTAGGCTCCCAGGTTCTTTTTTTTTTTTTTTCTTTTCTTTTTTTTGTCTTTTTCCTTTTTATCGGTACCGGGGATCGAACTCACAACCGCCTGCTTGCAAGGCAGGTGCTTATGCCGCTGAGCTAAACCCCCAGCCCAGGCTCCCAGGTTCTTAGAGGAAAGGCAGAACTCATAGTTGCTGTGGAAATCTGTGGACCTCCCCAGCTCCGGCCCCTCACACCTTGTCAGGAAATTGAGTCTTTCTCCTACCTGTGTGTTTTTCATGTCCTATGTCTACAGGTTGCTGATGCTGGGAGATGGGAGCTTTCGAAGGGCAAAGCTTTTTACTTGCAGGGAATATTAAAGTGGCCTCTTCAGCATACATTCCCTTTGCTTCTGCCCTCTGACTGGACAATTCACTTCTTGCTCTGTGTATCCTCCCTCACCCCAAACTTGAGGTCACCACCCAGTGCTCTCAGGGTCCCCTCTTGGGTTCCTCTCAAGGAATCTTACTAACCTCTCCAGTTCCTCTGCCACTGTCTGGTCCAAAACAACTGAGGTCACCCACCTGAAATCCTCTAACAGCCTCCTAACTGAGCTCAATTTTATTTTTGCTTTTGTTTGCTTTCACAGAAGTCAGCACAATCTTCTAAAATTCTAAATCTAGGGTGGGGATACAGTGCAGTGGTAGACTGCTTCCCTAGTACATGTGAGTTTGACTCCCAGCACCACAAACAAAACAAAACCCTAAGTCTAATCACACTATCTTCTTGCTCCTATCATTGGCTTCCTATTGTATGTATGTATTTTGGTACTGGGAATCAAACCAGGACCATGCACTTGCCAGGCAGGCACTTAATGCAGCTGAGCTATATCCCCGGCCCTTCTTCTTGCTTTTAAAATGAAGACTCAAGTTCTTATCCTGATCTAGGAACCCCTGGGTTTGGTTTCCTCCTGCTTCTGGCCACTTCTCATGTCACCTGGCCTGTCCCTCATGAAGCACCTGTGTCCTCTGCTCTGTGGCCACACCCAGGTTGTGCATACCATAGAGCCTTGGTACAAATACTCCCTTCTTCTCCAAAGGTTGCTCGCCCAGATCTTTTTGGAAGTAAATTATAGGCATGCGCCCCAAACCTGGCTCTTGTTTCCTTTCTTTTATTGTAGGTGCTCATTAATGCTTATTGCTGCTTGGATGTTGTGCCCGAGGCAGGAGGATACACAAGTTCTAAACTAAATTGAGCTACATAACGAGCTCAAGACCAGCCTGAGCTACAGAGTTAGACTTCATGAAAAAAAAAAAAAAAAAAAAGCTTCTTAGATGAAGGAATGAATGTGCACTCAGAGGCAAGGAGCTCACTGTGCTGGAATGCATCAAAGTGAGATACAGCTAGAGAAGTGACTGAGGTCACACCAAAGAGCCTGGCAGCCACCAAACCAAGGATTTTAGATCTTCCTGTCGGGACCAGATGTCACTGCTAGTGGTTTACCAAAAGAGGCCTGAGCAGCGCTGTGCTAATAACAGCAAGGAGAGAAGGTGACAGCTTTGAGACAACACTTGATGGCATGTTTCTGACATGCAGCATCTCCAACCAAGCACCATGGCGGGCACGGGACACTGGGACAAAATGGAGACATTGCTAAACCATCTTCCACCCCCAAATGGTCCTTCCTAGCCATATGCGCATCCCCTTACTTCCCGTTTCACCCAGCTTCCGCTCATGCAAGCCGTCCGCAAGGCCACCATGTGGGGTTCATGTGCCCAGCGTGCTCCTGTGCCTGGACTCAAAGGTCTTAGGGTTTTTGAGTCTGACCACCTCTTGTTTGTCTTCTTCCCATAACACCTCTTCTCTGTTTATGGGATTGGCAGAATTTTTCTCTTGAAATTCTCTTTTTCCTTGATGATGTTGAGCCATTCTGCATTTCTGTCTTCTCCTTCTCAAGTCCTTTCCTGCCTCCTCCTCCTCATCCTCTCCTTTGATGTCCCTGGTCCTCTCCATACTCTGGCCCTGGTCCTTGCTCCTCTTTCTGTGTCTGTCTTTTCTCATTCTTCACATAATCTTGTTTTTCTTTTCTTTTTTTTTCAGTACCAGGGATTGAACTCATGACCTTGTGCTTGCCAGGCAGGCACTTATGCTGCTGAGCTAAATCCCCGATCTCTCTTCATATAATCTTTTTTTTTAAATAATTTATTTTTTTATTTATGTAAATTTTTTATTATTTTGAAGGTAGTAAAGTACAACAGAATAAGATGGAACAAAGCCAATTTAATGTAGTGAAATTGGTACAGAACTTCACAGCAGGTTACCGGGACAACGGTAATAGGTACCACAGTGTATCTCATTATCTTCACAATAGTTGTTCTTTCAGCCAGGTATAGCAAAATAAAACAAAATACAAAACATTATAGAATTTATCAAAACAGAATATTGAATAGAGCAGTACCATTAATCAGAATAAAGCAAAACAGTAGTAAAAATATTTGCCTTCAAAGAGATGGTAGAAGGAAATCCCCCTTGTTTGCTATATTGCATGTGGTCAGCCTCTAAAGAGATGCTCAGATCTCTGGCTCCCATTTGCTAATGGGGGGTGGGAGGGGAGGTGGGATGTTTGATTCTCAGCCCGTGCTCTGGTAGGCTCACTACCACTTAGCAGGAATGCAAGCGGGTTGCTTGGTTTCCCAGCGCCCTAAGTTCCAACATGGAAGACGTAGATCTCAGGAGTCGCTGGTGATTATCGGCCTGGGGAGACTGCAGCCTGCCACACCACAGCCGCTTACCAGGGAGATGAGCTGATGGCTTGGTTTCCCAGCGCCCTAAGTTCCAGCACTGTGTAGATCTCAGTAGTCACTGGTGGTTCTCCCCCTGGAGTGGCCACAGCCTGCCACACCACAGCCGCTTACCAACTCTTCACATAATCTTAAATTGTCAGTCATGCTCAGGACAGATCTGGCCTGGCTTCCAAACTTCAGCCCCACCAGGCTTGTGCTCAGTAGACATAGCCCACAGGTGACTTGCTGCCCCCAAACCTGCGCCTCCAAGCTCTCCTCAGTTTCTCTTCCACAGCTTCCCTCCTGGATCCCTCTTTCTGCAAATCACTCCCTACCCTCCTATATACATGCTTGCCAGAAACCTTCTGGCCAGCTTGCGTATCTTCTGTTTCCTATATGTCTCTGCCAGATCTGCCAGTTTCCTATATGTATCTGCCCCACAACTCCACTTTTTAAAAATTAATTGGGCCAAGGCTTTAGCTAAGCGGCTGCAGGTGTGCAGTCATGCATTTGATCGCCGGTACCAAAAAATAAAAAAATAATAAAAATTAATTTATTTGTTTATTTTTGGTACCAGGACTTGAACTCAGGGTCTCATACTTGCTAGGTAGGCACTGTGCCGCTGTACTATATCCTGGCCCCTCTAACTGCCACTTTTTAAAACTAATCATGAGCCTAGTGTGGTGGTTTTTGCCTGTAATCCCAGCACTGGGGAGGCTGAGGCAGGAAAATCACAGTGAGTTTGAGGCCAGCCTGGGCTACCATAGCAAGACCCTGTCTCGAAAACCAAAAACCAAACTGAAACAAAACAAAACATATCATGAAAGTACATGTGCTTATTGTAAAGATTTCAAAAAAATTCAAACACATCCAAAGTAAAAGAATGGAAACGCACCCCCGCCACCGCCCCGCATCCTCTGTAGTGCTGCCACCTAGGTTTCCCGTCCTAGGCTCTTGGTTCAAGATGCCAAGTCAAGGCGTATTTTACTCTTTTGCAGCCTCGCCGTCATGGAACAGCAGCATAGTTTCACACAATCTGCGTTTCCTTTCAGTTCAGCTCACCAGACACTCACTGAGAGCTTTCCTCACACCGGTCCCACACCAGATCTGCAAGAGGCCCATTCTTCAAAGCTGTTTAACTTTGGGCAGATTACTTCATCTCGGTGACTCTTCCTTCTTTATCTGTAAAATGAAGGTAATCCTTCACGAGTGGGAGGAGGATTAATGAGATGACACTCGCAGAACTCTTTGCACAGGCGCCTCATACCTTTTATCTCCCCCATAAATGTGAAGGACAACAATGATCATGATGATAAGATTTGCCTTGGAGGAAGTAACAGTTTAATGGGGGACTTGAATGAGAGATATCCAGATAAAGAAAGACAAGTGTTTTGGGAAAAAGGAGAGAGGCAGTTTAAAATTGAAAAGCTGAATTAGGGAGTTAAGAAACCAAGTTACGAGTTTGGATATGTCCCCTAAAATGTGGTGGTGCTGACATGTGTTTAGAATCCCTGCATCCTGCAAGGCTGAGACAGGAGGACTGCAAGTTCCAGCCCAGCCTGGGTAATTTAGGGACTTAGTGAGATCTTGTCTCAAAAAATAAAAAAGGTCTGGGGCTACAGCTCAGTCGGAAGGTCCTGGATCAATCCTCAGTAGTATAAAAAAATATATATATATACAACAGCGGGGCTGGGGGTTTAGCTCAGCGGCATAAGCGCCTGACTTGCAAGCAGGCGGTGGTGAGTTCGATCCCTAGTACCGATAAAAATAAAAAAAAATATATAAAAAAAATACAACAGCAACAAAATACAATAAGACCTTCTCCCTTATGCATAACTTTTTCTTCTGTCTTTCTTTCTTTTATTTTTTCTTTACTTTTGAGACAAGGTCTTATTATGTAGTGCAGGGAGGCCTCAAACTCACAATGATCCTCCTGGATCAGCCTCCTGATTCCTGGGATGATAGGTGTGCACCACTATCCCCAGCAAATTTTCTTTTTTTTGACACTGGAGATTAAAACCAAGGCCTTGTGCGTGCTGGACAAGTGCTCTACCACTGAGCCACCCTCCCAGCCCTTTGGACATGTCAGTCTGTGCATAGAAATGTCCATAGGATCACAGGCCTCTGCTAGCATGTCAAGAGCTGAATTTGGGCCTGTGGTCTGCTGGAGGGAGGAGCAGGGTGCGACATTAATAATGCTCACGTGAGGAGCTTTAATTTCTCCAGAAAAAAAATCTTTTCCACATTTTAGATCATTTCCACTGTGTGAACAGTTTTACAGCTCTAGTTCTGTTCACCAAGTCATTTTCTAAGTGGATTGTACCAGTTCACAATGTTATCAGCAATAAATGACTCTCTCACCTTGCCCTCATCCTTGAAAAAGTTTGCCAATTTACCAGGCATGATTCTACATACTGTTTTAATTTGCATCTCTTCGATTGCTTGTGGAAGGGACACTTTTCATGTGTTAGCTACTCTCTTGTGTTTGGTAAAGTATTTGTGTCAGAGCTGGATGGGGAATGCAAACCTTGGCCATTTGATTTTGAGGAAGTCATTTACATTTTTTCCACTCTCTTCTGTTCCCTTCTGTGCTTTATTATTACTATTACTTCCTAAGCTAACATGTGTATCTTTGCTTCATATCAGGAAATATGATTAAGCCAAGAGTCAAATCGCCCTTATCTCACCAACATTCGTTGTGTAGTCTTTAAAATGTCTTCTCTGCCCACAATAGCCACAAATGTCATCTAATTTTTTTTTTTTTCTGTTTGAGACAGGGTTTCACTATGCAGTTCATCCTGCCCTTGAGCTCACTTTGCAGTGCAAGCTGGCATCAAACTTGCAGCAATCTTTCTGCCTCAGTCTCCCGAGTGCTGGGATTACAGGCACGCACCACCACGCTGGGCTTAATCTAAGTTTTCTGAGTCTGTTTCCTCATCTATAGCATGAGAATATTTGTCCTTTAAGTTGACAATTAAATGAGTTTGTAAATGTAGGAGGGTTTCATAAAATACAGGATATTATTCAAATGTACAAACTGCTGCTCTTAGGGCAAAAACATTTCCCTTTATTCAGCCAAGCAGAATTCTGTTCCCTAAGCACCGCCTGCCTTTAAGAGAGCAGTTTCTTCTCCCTCAATGACTTCATGTCTCTTCCTCCATTCCTTCTGCTGAGCTATTTGTTCCTGCGTGTGTGTGTGTGTGTGTGTGTGTGTGTGTGTGTGTGTGTGTATGTATGTGCATCTAGGCCAGTCTTCTACCATGGAGCCACATCTCCAGGATCCCTCACCTAGTCTAACATTTTTCACTGATTAAAAAATATTTTTAGGGGGCTGGGGATTTAGCTCAGCAGCATAAGCACCTGCCTTGAAAGCAGGCAGTCGTGAGTTTGATCCCTGGTACCAGTAAAAACGAAAAAGCCAAAATATATATATATATATATATATATATATATATATATATATATTTTTTTTTTAGGCCAGGGATGATGGTGCATGCCTATAATCCCAGCAGTCAGGAGGGTGAGGCAGGAATATTGATGTGAGTTTGAGGCTAGCCTGAATTACATATTGAGAACTCGCCTCAAAAAAATGTAAAACAATATTATATATTGTTTAGTGCAAAGGACTGCAGGTATAGCTCCATGGCAGAGCACTTCCTAGCATGTACAAGGTCTTAGATTCTATTCTCAGCATCACAAAGAAGAAAAATTAATGCAAAAACAACCATATACCTGCTACGCAGCTTAAAAAATAAAATCTCCTAGATACACGTAAAACCACCCGTGAACTCCTCCCCAATCCCAGCCGCTTCCCCAACACAGATTCTGTTCTCCTGAGTTTGATATTTCTAATTCCTATGACTTTATATTTATTTATGTGCTTATTTGTTCTTACCCCTTTCTATATATATGTGTATATGTGTGTGTTATGCATATACATAATATTTGTGTCTATAAAAATATATACACATTTGTAGTACTGGGAATTGAATTCAGCTATATCCCCAGCCTCTGCCCAGGCTGGGCTCGAGCTTGTAATTCTCCTGCCTCAGCCTCCCTGGATTATAGGAATATGCCACCATACCCAGCATTATAACATTCTTTTGCTTAAGTTTGTTTAGATTTCTGGTGAGCAATGAAAAGCTCTGGAGGTGAGTTCAGTCTTCTTCTTTGGGGTCACATCTGACCTGTGTGGAGATGGAGTCAGGCTTCATTTATTTCCTGCTTTAACACTCAGTACACAATCACACTGCACACTATCTGCTTTCCTGCTGGTGGCTGCTTCAGTAATTTTTTTTTTTTCTTTTTGAGACAGGACCTCTTATGTAGCCCAGGCTGTCCTTGAACTCATGACAGTTTTCCTGCCTCAGCCTCCTGCGTGCTGGATGATAGGTGTACACTACCATGCCTGGCTCTTTGGTCATTTTGTGTTGGCCATGCAGGTATTGGTGCGGTGAGCATTTGCTTCACCTCCCATGAACACGTGTGTAGGAGTCTTTTTAGAATCTGGAGTCATGGCCTGTGTGTCTCTAATTAGACATTGCCCAATTATCCTCCAAAGTGATTCCTCCTGTCCATCCTCACCAGACATATGTGAATATTCCCATTTCTGTTCTTGCAAGTTTTTCCAATTTGGCGAGTATGAAACGATACTGCATTATGGTTTTAATATCCATTTCACTGATTATTGAGGAAGTTGATCACTTTACAAGTTTATTTGTTGTTCATGGCATCCCTTCATGGAATTTCTTTTTTTTTTTAATTTTTTTTGGTCTTTTTTGTTTTTTTATTGGTACCAGGCATCGAACTCACGACTGCACACTTGCAAGGCAGGTGCTTATGCCGCTGAGCTAAATCCCCAGCCCCCTTCATGGAATTTCTTATTCATGAAGTGCTCAATTTTACTATTTACTTTCTTTTTTTCAAGACAGGCTCTCACTATGTAATTCAGGCTGATTTTGAACTCAGGACGATCCTCCTGCCTCAGCTTCCCAAGTGCTATATCACACCTGGCTGAAAGTGCCTATTTTTTAGGTCTGCTTTAAAATTGGTCTGGGGAATGTATTCTTGGTCTGGGGAATGTAGCTCAGTAGTAGAGAGCACTTATCTAGCATGTGTAAGACCCTGAGTTTGAACCCAGCACTGAAAAGAAAAAAATCCCTCCCTGTGCATAAAATATTTCCACATCTCCATCAAGCAGATAGGACTTTTTTGAAACTGGTGATTGAATCCAGGGTCTTTCACTGAACTATATCCCCAGCTCTTATTTAACTATTTAAAAATTTAATTCAATTTAGTTTAATTTTAAGACAAGATTTTACTAAATTGCTAAGCTGCCCAACTTGTGACCCTCCTGCCTCAGCCTCCCATAGAGCTCAGATTATAGACAAGCACCATCAAGTATGGTTTAAGTGGGATCTTCTTTGACATTTGTAGTCCTCTCTCTGTTTACTTTTCATTTTGCCTGGCATTACAGTCATTTATAAACTTGTCTGGAGGGCAGGGGCTATGTTTATACCCTTGTTAACACTGGTACAAGGTAAACATTTCATAAACCTTTGTTGAATATAATCACACTCCTCCCCTGCTTACACATTCTCAAAACAGCTTCTTATTGTCTGCAGAAGGGAATGGGAGAGCCTTTCATGTGGACTTTAGGACCCTTGTGGGTCTTTTCTTGGGGGTATCCCTGCTTTCCACCCTTAAATCTGGCCTCTCTCATTTGCAGTGAGAATCTTCCCGGTCTGGAAATGTCTGGCTTTTCTCTGCAGCCAGGACAGGAGGTGTTAGCTGCCTGTCAGGTTCCTTTAGAGGTAACCTGTGGACCCTTGAGGCAAAACCTTGCTTTGATTGGTCCTGGATCTTCCCTTTGTGTCTAGATGACTTGGGGATGCCACTTCTTGAGACCCCACAGTGGCTGGTGGAGACATAGGCAGATGCATAGTTTTTGGTACAAAGGAATATAAGGAAAGAGAGACTTTGAGAGCGAGGAAAGCTTTCTAGGGGAGCCTTCCGCCAGTTGGTGCCTGAATGAGCAGCCCTGATCTTGAAACACCTATTTAACCTTTACATGTGAATGACCATGTAAGATACGATGCCTTTTTTTAGTACTGGGAATTGAACCCAGGCCTGATAGGTGATCCCTTTGCCTTGGAGCCACACCCCCAGCCTTTTTATTTTATTCTAAGCCACTGTCTTGTTCAGTTGCCTGGGCTGATCTCAATTTGGGATCCTCCTACCTCATTCTTTCCAGTTGCTGGGATTACAGGCCTGTGCCACCAAACTGGTATGACATTAGACTTTCTGATACATAGGACATTGCCAGGGAGGCTCCTGAATTCAGCGGGCCAGACACTCTGTCCTGTGAGGAAGGGGTTAGCTGGCCGTCTTCCATTAGATCGGACAGGTGCCAGCCACCCGACTGGAGCTTTAAGGGGGAACATTCCTGCGTAGGCGTATGTCTCCTTCCCATGCTCTTTTTTTTTTTTTTCCCCCTATGTTAGTGTTTACGTAACTTAAGGGCAAACACAGTCTGGCAATAGTCTCCATTGCAATGTCCTGGCAATGTAAATGTGGCAGAAATGTTCCCAGCGCTTGCAATCTCATAACAGGCTCAGCAAGATTTTTTACTCCACTTCTGGAGGAACACACAGGAAAGTGATATGCCACAAGTACGTGAGCTTTCTGTCATCCAAGTGCTAGTCCTTAAGTGAATGAAGGGTACAAAAGAAGAAGCTGTGCTGGGTGTGGTGACACACACCTGTAGTCCCAGCATCTAGGAGGCTGAGGCAGGAAGATTGCAAGTTCAAGCCCAGCCTGGACAGTTTAGAGACTTAGTGAGACTCTGTCTCAAAAGAAAAAATATCAAAGGCCTTGAATTGAATGTCTAGTGCTGCAAAAACAATAAAAGAAATTGAAGATGTTTATAACTCCCATCACTCAACATGTCCAACCATTCCCTATCCAATAATTCCCAATACCTGAGGGAAGAGGAGCTCACACCCTTCGCTAGATAGGTTGCACACAGACTTCCTGAAGCTCTTGGAGAAAGCTGAGGAGAAGGGAGCAGGCAGTGTGCACAGGTGCATGTGCACACACGGATGACAAATGCACAACTTCCTTGTTTGCTTACACTGTGTTCCCGACGTCTCCTGTCTCGCCCTTTGCTCTCACCTCCTGGAGGCCTTGTATCCACAACTCCTCTTTTAGGAAACTTCTCCTACAGTCTAGTGAACACCTCTGTCTTGATGTCTGCAAACCTTCGGGAGTGCTCTGTTGTCTATGTCCATCACCCCTTTGGCAGGTGTGGCCTTGAATTTCTTCCGGGGTAGCCCTCTAGCAGGTCACTATGCAGATGGAGATGCCTACATGCATGGGCATCAGATCAAGCACAGTTTGAATCCTGGCAGTGTCACCATCTGTTTTGGAAAATGAGTTCACTGTTCTAAATCTCAGTTTCCTTGTCCTGGAACTGGAGAATTCTAGTGTTCCTACCTCACAGTTGTCACGATGGTCACGTGAGATGATGCATATCAAATTGTTAGAACTGGGCCTAGGGGGCACCCATTACACGCTAGCTGTTGTAACTTGTCACTACTGTCATTCCGGCAGGAGTGTACAGCCATGCCATGGGCGATTCCGCCCATGCAGGCTTGTCTCTGAGTCAGGTACTCCTGGTCCCCTCTACCTCTTTCCCTATACTTTGGTCTGATCACATCCAAGCTTGTTTGTAGGTGTGTCTCTTGCTGGGTCAGTAAGTTTGCACTTAGTCTTTGGCCTTGAAACTGTAGCAGGGCTTTGTGGTCTCTTCTAACCTCAGCCCGGAAACCAATGCCCCTGCCCACCCCCCCACTCTGGGCTTACTTCCTGGCTTCCTTCTGCAACTCTAGCTTTCTGCTGTTACAAGTTGTTTCTAGACCAGGGTATAGAAGGGCTTCTAGAGGCAATGTGGGGAAAGGGAATGAACACTATGTCACCAATATGCTGTCTGCAAAGTGGGAGTCCACACTGAAAGATGACTTGCCATAGGTTTTAAATTGGAAAACCTAGGCTCAATTCCCAACCCTGAATTCTATGACATTGACGAAAATACTTGATTGTCATGTGCTTGTTTTCTCATTTGTAAAAGGAGAAAAATCAGATCTTCATACTATTGTGAGAATAAATGAAGCAATTTATAGAAAGTACTAGAATGTTCTGAAACATGGGAAATGGTGGATAAATGGCTGTGATTTTTTTTTTTGGTCTTTTTGAGCCAGGGTCTCGTTTCACAGTTCGGGCTGGCCTTGGGCTCTCTTTTGCAGCCCAGGCTGGTCTTGAACTTGCAAACAATTCTGCCTCAGCCTCCCAAGCACTGGAGTTATAGGAGTGTGCCAAAGTGGCTGTGATTATGAGCAGGTGGTTAGAAAACTTTTGCTCCTTTCTGAAAAATGAAGAGTTTATGTATTTAAAGTTAGAATTTCTGGCAGGAGCTATGCCAGAGTCACAAGATGCAGAATATCTGAATACCTTAAGGACAAAGCAAAATAGATTTTCTTGGAGTAAGGAGACAAAGAAGAGTTAAGTTAGGATAGATAACACTCAAACTTCAACGAAGATGAAAACCAGTACTTGACAGATAGAAACCTATTTGATGATATCCTCTAATTTCCTATATGCTGCCCCCTTCCTGCTATTGCCAAACTTAGTTTACACAAGGAGTTCAGTTTACAGATGATAAAGAAGAGACTGTTCCATTTATTACGGGCTGCCTCCATTACTATACAGAGTCAGTCCTGTAGGAGACAAGCAGGGTGCTGAGCTAGTGCACAAGCTATTGTCTTATGCAGTTTTACCTTGAGCACATTTGGCAACACTATTTAGGAACCTCCACCCCACCCCAGCCCCCCAGCACATCGTATGTCCCTGGGCACACATATTAGTTTTCATTGACATTCACATATGTCTAAGTTCTTTGCTCATAGTCTTTCAAGGCAAAGCTTAAATGTCACTGGGTTAGTTAGGTTTAGGCTTCTTGTCAAGAATTTTTCTTTAACAGCAATTTGAAGTTTTAATTTTCACTTCAATATATTTGACCAAAAAGTACAAGACATCACACAAGTTAAAACCAAAGTGGTATCTAACTAATCTCAAATTATCTGATAAAACATTGGAACTATTTCACAGTTTTAATTAGCAGGAGAAAAAACTGGTTCTAAAGTACTGCAATGTTTGGCATTTTTACAGCAAGTTTTAAATTCATAGTGTTACTCAACACTCATCTTTAAGAAAGTAAGAGTGTTCACAAAAACAAAAAATATCTTATCTAGTAGGTGGTATTCCACAGCCAAAATAAGACAATTCTTTATAAAATTAGTTTTAAAAAATGCAGAAAGTCTTGGTAATTACCAGTTGTCTCAGAAGCTACAATCTGAAAACCATAGAACGTAGATGTAATTGTTGATTCATATTATTTTGCTTTGATAAAGCCAGAAATTATTCTATTCTAAGATAAGCAATAATGATAAAAGATGAGATTAATATATGGTATTTCTTTCAGGGTGGGCATAGTGGTCCAAGATTGTAGTCTCAGCACGGGGGAAGCTGAGGCAGGAGAACTGCCTTGAGTTCAAGGTCAGCCTGGGTTACATAGTGAGTTCAAGACCAGCCTGAACTACATAGTGAGACCCTGTTAAAAAAAAAAAAAAAAAAAAAAAAGCCCTCGCAAGTATATACAGTATTTTCTTCAAGCCAAAGTAAACTTTACCTCACAGACAGCAATTCAGACTTTAACTTTCTTAATATCCTTTAATCTTTTTCCTTTTTATCGGTACCAGGGATTGAACTCACGACTGCCTGCTTGCAAGGCAGGCGCTTATGCCACTGAACTAAATCCCCAGCCCCTTGGTCTTTTTTTAATATTTTCTTTTTTGGTACCAGGAATTGAACTCAGGGCCTTGTGTTTTTGAGGCAGGCGCTGTGCCACTGAGCTACATCCAGGGCTCTATTCTTCATATCTTTTGATCCTCTTTAAACCACTATTTGAATAAAGTTCATAATGTAAAGCCAGTTTTTTCTGCATAGAATGTTTTCACTTCAGAATATAACAGTAAAATGGCAAATGACTGAGTCATTTACAAAGAATTAATACCATAGGTTGAATGCCTATTCTCTGAAATGCTTGGGACCAGAAATGTTTTAGATGTTTTCAGATTTTGGAATACTTGCATATATATAATGAGACATCCTGAGGCTGAGACCCAACATTAAATAGAAAATTCATTTGTTTCCTGTAGCCTAGAGGTAATTTATGCAACATTTTTAGTGCATTTGTTTTTGACTGAGATCCATCATGAGGTCAGGTGTGGAATTTTCTGCTTCTGACATCAGATTTATGCATAAAAAGTTTTAGGTTTTGCGGTATTTGGGGTTAGGAATTAGGAATGCTCAATGAATATAATTAATACTAATTTGTAATGACTGCTAATACTCAGTAACTAATTTCTATGCCCAGATTTAAAAATTGTTACACTGGGGCTGGGGATTTAGCTCAGCGGCATAAGCGCCTGCCTTGCAAGTGTGTGGTCATGAGTTCAATCCCCGGTACTGATAAAAAAAGAAAAAGACAAAAAAAAAAAAATGTTACTAACCCAGGCATGGTGATACATACCTATAATCCCAGGACTCAAGAGGCTGAGGCAAGAGAATCACCATGAGTTTGAGGCCAGCCTGGGCTACATGAGTTCAGGGGTAGACTGCACTGCAGAGTAAAACTCTCAAAAAAAAAGTTACTGCACTATTGAGGTTAGATTCTAGAATGATTTTTCTATATGGACAGTAATAACTTTCATGAAATCCAAAGAAACCCTCTGGGTGCCTTCCAAAGCTGTATATTTTCCCAAATGATTTTTCTTTGCTCACAGTGCCTACTCATTCCTACTCCTATTATAATTTTGCGATATTTTGACATTTTGTTGGTTCTTTTGCACCTTCTCTTGGGCTTCAATCATCTTGGCCAATTTCAAGGACAAAAGGGAACTTGCTAGGGACAGTGGACATCTGGGGCCCTTTGTTACCGAATCCATGACATATACTCAGCCCAGACCTTACATCACATACCTTTGTAGCAGTCTTAGAAAACTTCTGCTTCCTTAGCGATCTGTAATTTTGTCCTGTGAGCCAATCAGTCTCAGATGACCTTTGGTTGTTTTCTGCTTTAGTTCTTCACATTCCAACTGAGAAGTTTAAATTCTCAGAGAAAACTGTCTCTGCTTTTAACTCCACCTTAGCTTCTTCCCATTTTCAACAAAAGCCACGCCTCTGCTTTCAGCTAAAGATATCCCACTGCTGAAGGTGAGAAATGCCCAGCCCCTGACTTCAGACTTCATGACACCTCCTCCACGGAGCTCCTGGGACCAGGCACCACGGAAACAGGGCCTCCTCTGGCTCCGTAATAAACTAACTAAGTATCGAGAAGAAGAACTACACTGCAAAAAAGTAAAGCAGGAGTGAAGGCCCTGGTTTATTTATGGCAAAGTTTCAGCCATTATTATAGAGAAAAGAGAGACAGTCCACAGAATACACACCTCTGTGTTTCGAACATAGATCCCAAGTCTGCCCAAAAAAGGTCTACCAGGCTCACCTGCCTGCCAGCCCCGCCTGGAGCCTGAAGCAGCCACAGGCGACACTTGAGGGACAGCTACTTACTCCTCCGTCCTTCCCTCTTCCCCCCAGTCCTCCTCTCATCTGCAGCACTGCCAGCCACTCCCGACCTCACCCCAGGGGATTGGAGAACGGTTCAGACACCTGTTGGCCATTTACATTTTCTTTTGAGAAATGTCTGTTTAGTTTTATGGCCTTCCCTGCCCACACCCTTTTTTGTGGTACTGGGAATCCAAACATGCAAGACAAACGCTCTATTACTGAACTGCACTGCTCTTTACACTGCTCTTGCCCAACTACCTACTCTTTAATCAGGTTATTTGTGGGGTTTTTATTTATTTGTTGGACGGTTATGTTTGTTCTTTGGTTGAGTTTCCCGAGCGTCTTTCTATACACTAATTATCATCAGATAAATACTTGGTAAATATTTTCTACTATTCTGTTAGCTGTTTACTATTTGTTTTATAGGCTATATTTTGCTTTTTTTGTGACTGTACTTTGACTTTTTATTTTTGCTTTTGTTTCCTATAATTTTGAGTCTTGCTCAAAAAATTCTTGCTGATGTCCTGAAGTTCTTTCCCTATTTTCTTCTAGTAGTTTTATGTCTTACACTTGTGTTATCAATTCTATTGATCCACTTGAGCTTTTTTTTTTTTTTTTTTTTTTGTACCAGGAATCAAACTCAGGACCTTGTGCTTGCCAGGCAGGCATTTATGCCAGTAAGCTTCATCCCCAGCCCACTGAGTTAATTTTTGTAACTGGTGAAAGGTCAGGGTTTGGTTTTTTTTTTTTTTGGAGCTTGGGATTGAATCCAGGGCCTTCGTGCATGTAGGGCAAGAGCTCATCCCAGGGTCTAGTTTCATTCTTCTGCATTTAGATCCCAAATTTTCCCAGTTTCATTGGTTGAAAAGACTCACCTTTCTTTAACTCCTATTTGTCAAAAATCACTTGTTCATAGATTTGTGGGTTTACCTTTGTTTTTACTAAATAAGAGTATATATTAATCCCTAGAATAATTTGCCAGCCTCTTCTGTAAATCACAGTTTCAACCAAAGATTTAAGAGTCTAAGTTTATTTCTGCTTAGTCACTCAGTGTGAATCTATTATCATTTTTTTCTTTTTTGAGACAGTTCTCAGTATGCAGTTCAGTCTGACCTCAAACTCAAGGCAATCCCCTGCCTCAGCTTCCTGAGTGCTGAGATTACAGGGGTGAGCTACTATGCCTGGCTCTATCATCAATTTTGTTTTACTTTTTTTTTTTTTTTGGTACCAGGGATCGAACTCATGACCTTGCATGACCTTGCGCTTACCAGGTAAGCACTTGAGCCACTGACCTAAATCCCTAGCTCTCTATCATCAATTTTAACAAGTTCTCTGAGCTTTTAAGAATTAAATTCACACAACTTCAAGCAATGAAATTGGTTACTTCTTTACTTTTGTAGAGGAGACTGGCTAGGTTTTAAAAATATAGATTTCAGAAGCATTTAAATGAAAACACTTGGAATAATTTTTTTGAGGACACATGGTTTCTAATGTGCTCCTAGGATAAATGAGGAAGTGACCAATTTTGCCTGGGGGAGGAGGTGACATTTGAGTTGGGTCGGGGCAGTGGAGCAGGAGTTTCACAGGCTGATAAGAGGCTACCAGATATTCCAAGCCCTAGAAACCTCTATATAAATGGTGCTTATCTCAAGCCGCGCTGTTAATATTGCTCTACCCTCACCAAGCTGTACATTCCTTGATGTTATAAAACAATTTGATTTCCCAAAATGGCCATGTAGCTTATTTTGTCATATTTTACTTGATGATTCATTACATATTTACTAACTTCATTCATGTACTAACAAAATAGTGTGTTTTTGAACCATATCAGAGCCATTTATTTATTTACTGATAATGAATCAAATTCAGGACCTTGTGCTTGCGAGGCAGGTGCTTATGCTGCTGAGCTATATCCCTGGTCTTTAACTTAAAAATTTTATTAGTACATATTTGCAGTACATAATGGTTACATTCATCATGGGGAGTTGGTACAGGTACATAATACATCTTAAGTTTACTTTTCCTGCCTCAAAATAGTTTGTCTCTTTTTTTTCTCTTTTGTTTTGGGGGGGTAGGGTCTCATCATGTAATCCAGGTTGGCCTTGAGCTTGCAGCTGGCCAAGGGCTGACTGTTGCTAGCCTGATGTAGACTAAATTTCAGAATTCAGATAATTTCTACTAAATGTGTATTACTTTTTACTTTGCACTACTGTATTACTGAACTATAAACTGCACCATCCTACATTAGGGATGGTCTGCAATAGACAGACTGTACTTCTTGCTCTGTGTGTCTTTGTCTCTGTCTCTCCTTTCCTCTTTTTTGGATAGTACTAGGGATTGAACTATATCCCAGCCCTTTTTATGTTTATAGACAGGGTCTGTGTAGTTCAGGTTGGTTTTGCACTCGTTATGCAGTCAAGGCTGGCCTTGAACTTGCAATAATCCTCCTGCCTCAGCCTCCTGTGCTGGGATTATAGGCATAAGCCTGGCTCCTTTTTTTAAATTTTATTTTTGGTACTGGGGATCGAACTCATGACCTTGCACTTGCCAACCAGGCACATATGTCACTGAGCTAAATACCCGGCTCGCTTCTTTTTATTTTGAGATACGGTCTCCTTGATCACCTAAGTGGGGCTCAAACTTGCAACCAACTGCTTCGGCCTCTCAGATCCTAAGCTTATACATATATACCACCATGCCTGGGTCATTTGAGAGAGATGCCAGGTTGACCTAGAATTTACTTTCCTCCTGCTTCAGTCTCCAGAGTAGCTGGGATTGCAGGCTTGAGCCACTGAGACACCATTTCAGACAGGGTCTAGCAGATCCTTAATTGGCTCTACAACAGCTAACAAATGCAAGGATCAGCATCTGGTCCAAGGGGCACCCCCCTGTGAGTGGTGACAGATGAGCAGAGCCCATTGTCTTGCCACTCTATGGGTTATGGAATTGAGCAGCTGAGATGGGCAAATTTGGTTCCAGTTTGGGCAATTTAGTGATTTAGTGAGACTCTGTCTCCAAAAAAAAAAAAAAAAAAAGTTGGGAAAGTAACTTATGTGAAGGTCTTCAGTTATTCAATCTTCAGTACAAAAGGAACAGAAAAAAAAAATTCCAGTTGTGACATGCACCTGTAATCCCACCTATTAAGGAGGCTGAGGCAGGAGGATGAAAGTTTGAGTTAGCCTTAACAATATACTCTTGTCAGAACAACAGCAACGTAAAGTTTAAGAAATAAAAGCTCAAATAACAAAAAAGAAAGAACTTTGAACTTATAGTTACAATATATTAAAGCTTTGCCCCTTTTCTGTGGTATTTCATTCATAGGTTTTTAAATCTCTTTTGAACTGGATGTGGTGATGCATGTCTATAATCCCAGTACTCAGGAAGCTGTGGTAAGAGGATTCACATGAACTCGAGGCCAACCTGAGCTACCCAGTGAGATACTGTCTTGAAAAAATATCTTATTTGAGACTGTAGTAAATATGTTATTTCAATAGTTTAGGGCTGGGGTGTAGCTCAATGTGGGGTTACACTGTAGTTTGGATGCCCAGCAACACCAGAAACAAAAACTGAAGAATGGGAGGCTGAGGATTTAGCTCAGCGGCATAAGCGCCTGCCTTGCAAGCAGGCAGTCGTGAGTTCGATCCCTGGTACTGATAAAAACGAAAAAGACAAAACAAACAAACAAACAAACAAAAAACTGAAGAATGAATAAATCAAAAAGGGTTGAAGCAAATGACCTGGAGTTGGGCTGTAAAGGGATTTACTTGATCCTACCATGAAGGAAGTAGTCCAGGAAAATCTGTATGCATGAAATATATGTATATAAAAAGAGCCAAAGATTTAGCTCAGCGGCATAAGTGCCTGCCTTGCAAGCGTGCAGTCTGAGTTCGATCCTTGGTACCAAAAAAATAAAAAATAAAAATAAAATATATGCATATAGCACAGTTGTTGTGTATTCCCTTGTGTACAAATACATTGATGGACATATAGGCTGCTCTCATGATTTAGCTATTACACTTTGTGTAGCTATAAACATGGGTGTGCAGCCATTGCATGAAGGCACACTCATGGCTGTGATCCTAGCACTTGGGAGGCTGAGGCAGGATAGCCATAAGTTTGAGGCCAGCCTAAACTACATATTGAGACTCCCTCTCAAAAACAAAGCAAAACAAAACAAAATCTGGGCGTGCATGTAAATGATGCATATGTATATGCCTCTTTCAGGAAGATACCTAGAAGCGTAGCTGGCTCAAATGGAATTTCTAGTTTGAGTTTTCTGGGAAATCTCCACAGTGGTTGTGCCAGCTTACACTCCCACCAACATTGTGGAAGCAACCTGCCCTCCACAGCCTCACCAGGATTTGTTGTTATTCAATTTCTCAAAGGCTATTCTTTCTGGAGATGAATTCTCGGCATTGTTCCTATTTGTATCTTTCTGGTGGCCAGAGATACTGAACATTTTTTCATGAAATGAACTAGAATGATTGCAGGAAAATGGATGCAGCTCAAGACCATAATGTTAAGTAAAATAAAACAAGCTTAAATACCGCATGGTTTCTCTTGTATGAGAAACCCAAACTATAGAGAGCAAAATAAAAGAATATGAAGCAGGAAAGTAGATTTTGTTCAAATGAGAAGGGCATCAAGAGATGAAGGAGGAGAAAGGGAAGGGGTGAAAAAACACGAAGATATATACTGTGTATGCACCAATTCCCCAGAAGGAATGTAATATTACATCATACAAACGTGCCAATAAAAATAAAAACTGAAAATAAGAAAGGTCATCTTTTTACTTAGAAATACTTTATATGCATATACATATGAACGAGGAACACATTGCATTTCCTGTTGTTTTTTTGGGGGGGAGAAGATCACCTTAGTAACTGGAAGGATCTGATAGGTAAAAGCAAGCATGGAGGTTAGGACAACATGAAGTGTAATCGCTGGGGGGAATGGCATAGGCAGAGATGGGCACTTCAGAGAGAACACGCTGGATGCAGGGAGTAAACCCTGGGTGTTGCCCTGTGAACTGGGTACTTTCTAGAGAACACAGCAGGATTTTGATCTGTAGGATTTGTAGTGTCTGCAGGATGTACAGGTGAAAGCGCTCACCAGGCACCTGAAAATACCAACAGGTTTCCAGATGGTCTGATCAGCTGATAGATAGTTGTAAGTCACTAGCAGTTTAAAGTAAGCCCAAAAATCCTGATCATGGGGCTGAGAAGGAAGAAGAGTGCTGAGGACAGAATCCCGTGAATACTGCTATTTTCAGAGCAAGGAACAGGTGCAAGGGACGAGGCATTCTTAACGGAGCAAAAAAAGCAAAACGGAAACCACCAAACAAAAAACAAACCTTAAAAAAGAACTGGCAAGGAAATCTGAAACAGGAAAATTTGGATGAATACGGTTCTCCTGTGCGCATCCACACACATTTCCATGCTTGAGAGGCTGGTCTTGGTGTGGTGACTGCTGGTGAATCCGGGTGAGGACAGCGGCCACACGACAGACCGCGCTGATCCAGGACAGAAGTCCCTGACGGCGGCTTGGGTCTCATTTGTGTCCAACAGCAATACTCTGGACTCCAAAAAGGAGGCCTTCGCCGCGTCTCGGTGCTGAGGAGGTTAACTGGCTGGCAGGGAAGGCAGCAGACCCGCGGCTTTGATTTCCTGTCTCGGGCACAGGCTACCTTTCACGCTGAGTCGCGGGCGAGGCGGCGCCGGGGAGCGCGAGCCTCGCGGGCAGAGCCCCGCGAGCGCGGGCCGAAGCACTGAAGGGCTCACCCTCCTCTCTTCCGCCCGCCTAGCAAGCCCGGGCTGCAGGGCTGGGAGGTTGCAACGGGGCGGGACCTTGTAGCTATGGCTTCGCCCCTTCCCGCCCGCTGCGGCAGCGCCTCTCGCCAAGGCAACCCTGGCCCCGCCTCCTTCCGCCCGCAGGAGCAGCCAGGCTGGGCGGGGCCTTTAGGGCGAGGCCGCGGGGCGGGACCTCGGGGACCCCGCCAGCCCGCGCACTCGGTAGGAGCTGAAGCTGCTGCCGCCCGATTCTTCAAGGTCTCACCACCGCTTCCTCAGCAGTGACCCAGGCTCAGCCGCCATGTCCGCTGCGGACGAGGTTGCGGCCCGGCCGCACTATGGCTGTGAGTGCAGGGCTCTGCGGCGCGAGGGTCCGCGGCCGGCGCGCGGCTTCCGGGGGGCTCAGGGGCGGGCGGGCGGCGCGGGGTTGACTGTCCGCTTCTGCAAGGACCCGGAAGAGCCGGCCCGGCGGGTGGGGGCGGTGGACCTGGCTTGCGCCCCCGCTGGCTCGGAGGCTACGGGTAGGACCCCGGACCCCACCCTGGCCCGGGATTTCAGCCGCGCGGCCAGCGTAGTTTGGGGGCGGCTGGGCTGAGGTGGCAGCGGGACGGCACCGGGCGTGTCCGGGACTGTGGCAGGGGCTCCACTGGCTTCCGAGGTGCCCGGCTCCGGGTTACCTTTCGAGGTGCGGCCCTGAGCACGTCGCTTCATTGTCTCGGTCGTTTCTTCCGTCAGGATTTCAAAAGTTTAAGAAAAAAAAAGAGAATAATAAAAGCCACCAAAAACTTTTGACTTCCTCATTTTCTGTGGCCGACCCTGGAACATCAATGAACTACAGATGATTACCATTGGCTACAGGAGTGTCCTCGGAGGGTATTTGAGGTTTCGATTTTAGTTCATAGCTGCGATTTTTTTAAAGGGGTAATCTCAGTCAACAGTTATACGTGAGATTGTGCCACGTTTGTGAAATTAGGGATGAGTAAGCCCAGACCCTGTCTCTAAAGAATGTTTTAAGCGGAGACAGACAGGTGTAGGAGTTAATGATGGTAGCGAGCAGTAAAGGTGCAAGTTGTTTGGAGAGTAGCGAAGCTTACAGAGTAGCGTGGGCCAGGAAAGGGCCTGGGAACCAGGGTGTGGCTTTTGAATAGAGCTTTGCATGATGCCATCCAGAGAAGTCTGACCGGGCAGGGTAGGACTAGGAGGCAGTACTAAGATACGGAAGAGGACCAGGACACTGTGTAGTGGGAACTGCACGTTGTGGTATATGCACAGTGGTAGGAGGAAGGGCAGTGGAAAAGGGGGAAAGGTTCCAAAATTCATCCAGGCCAGACTGGGAGAGGCCTTGACCCCTTTGCAAGAAGTTAAGAATTTACTGTTTCATTTTTTTTGGTGTTTGGGAAGGAGGCAGATTGCTTTATGGTTAAATCCAAAGGCCTTGGGACAGGTTTTTTGCCTTGGAATCCCAGCCTTCCTCTTAATCGCCATGAGACTTTTACCTGGCCTCAGTTCCCTCATCTGTAAAATAGGATTGTTGTGGGTTTCAGTGAGAGAAAGCATGCAGAATGCTTAGAACAGTTAGTACCACTCAGTCGTCAATAACTGCTGGCTTTGGTTGTTAATAAAATAGGGGAAAGTATGACGAGAGCTTTAGAAAGTTATGAGAGGCCTGACGTGATGGCACATGCCTATAATTCTAGCACTTGAGAGGCTGAGGCAGGAGGATTGCTGTGAATTCAAGGCTAACCTGGGAGTACATTGCCAGTTCAAGCCAGCCTAAACTACATAGCGAGATTCTGCTTTAAAAAAAAAAAAAAAAGTTCTGATAAACTAGGACAAATTCTAGCCAAAACTTGGTCAGTATTTTTCAGGATTACCCTAGAATTAAGCCCAAATTCTTGTTACCACACGTTTGTAAAAAGGACAAGATGAGTACAGTTGAAACTCTGTAGGTTTTTAAAATTGTTTTAATTTTTTTTTTTTTTTTTTATCTTTTTGAGACAGGGTCTCACTGTGCAGTTTAGGCTGGCCTTGAATTTGGCAATCCTCTAGCCTCAACCTCCTGAGTGCTGGGATTACAGGCAGGTGCTACCACATCCAGCTTGGTTTTTTTCTTTTTTAGGAAAATGATCTTAGTACACTTAACTATCTACACGTCCACCAGTTACCTTGACCTTGTTACCTTGATTTCTAGGTGATTACCAAGAATGTGATGGCATGCCATTCTTTTATCTCTGAGAAAGGTTAGCAATCTTGATATTTACATTCTTTCTTTTATGTTTTAGCTGTCCTGGATAATGAGAGACTGACTGCAGAGGAGATGGATGAAAGGAGACGACAGAATGTGGCTTATGAGTACCTTTGTCATTTAGAAGAAGCAAAGAGGTAAATAAGGACTGGCTGGAGAGAAGATTAGAAGAAGAAATTTGATGTGTGGACACAGATAAAGGTTTCTGGGTGTATCTTGTAGGTGGGCCTGGGGGTGTTGGTGGTTGAGAGAGTAAGTAGAGGTAGAGTATTTATTTATGGGAACGAGTAACGTGATGGGCGAAGCACTGTGATGAGCATCTGGGTATACTAAACTTTTTTTTTCAGATTTGTGCTACTTAATTTTATGCTTACAGCATTTGTTTTGGTTACTGCCCACTGTTTGAGAGAAATAGCATTTTTAGGGCCTGGAGTTCCTGATGTTAATGTTATAGTGATTCTAATTGGTTTCGAGTTATGTATGAATTGAATCTCTTCCCCTATGACTTGTGTCTTGAACACTAGGTTGGAAGGCTTCCACATTAGGGCAGTGAATATCACAGTATCAGTCCATCCATTTGGAAGAAATTCAGACTGTTTATCAGACTTAGCATCCTCTGCATGCTTGGCAGTGTGAATCTGTAACTACTGTTTTCCTTTCTCAGATGCCCCAAGACCTTGTAGTCTTTAATTTTAGGGTGTTAACTTATTATCAGCAATTAATTTCCTTTGTTCTTGTGCTTGTGTTCCTTCGAGAGGTCCTAGGGTAGGTAGATATAATTTAAATCGTGTATTTCATAAGTGAGTGCTGGTGGAAAAGGCTGATGAAGGATAATAAAAGATATTTGTTAGTTTTTTTTTTTTTTTATTTAATTTTTATCGGTGCCAGGGATCGAACTCATGACCACCTGCTTGCAAGGCAGGCGTTTATGCCGCTGAGCTAAATCCTCAGCCCCAATAAAAGATATTTGTCATTAAAGTTTAATGAAAATCAAGAATGGCTTAAATGAACCATCTAATAAAAGTGGTGGTATTTTTGTTTTAATAGTTCCGAAAACTTTAAAATGCTACAGAAGAATCTCGAGAACAGTACAGCAAACATTCTTGTATTCAGAACTAACACGTTAACCTTTCAGATCTTCACCTTTTCATCTTAAAAAAAAAAAAAAATAACAGCTGCAGTTGGAGTCCCTTTTGTACCCCTCCCTGGTCCCATTCTTTTTCCCTCCCTTGGGAACATATATTATGGTGTGACTTCTGCAGTGTAAGGCTGCTTTTCTGAGTTTAAAGCCTCTCTCCAAGGGACTGCGGATATAGCTCAGTGGTGCAGTAACTGCTTGGCAAGCACAAAGTCCTGAGTTTAATTCCTGATAATCACCCAAGGGGAAAAAAAAAAGCCCTTCCAACAAAGGACAGTAGGGATTAGTGATGGTAACACTTAACCTCTCTAAATGGAAGTTTAGTATTTTGGTGGAGCTGGAAAGTGAACCCAGGGCCTTAGGCATGCTAACTATTTGCTTTAGTAGTGAACTATCCATTAGTGTGTCCTATGGTTCCCTATTCCTGTTGAAAAATAGCATTTTAAACCTTTTTATGATTTTGCCTCATGCTGGATGTGATAGCCTGAGTAAAATGATATTTTCTATCCTATTCCCTCCCTTAAGAGCTGCACTGGAGTCATTTTGTTTCCATCTACTCCAGAATGCAGTCTTGTCTTTTTTTTTTTTTTTTTGGTACCGGGGATTAAACTCACGACCTCACACTTGCCAGGCAGGAGGAGCTTATGCCGCTGAGCTAAATTCCCAGCCCGAATACAGTCTTTTCTGTCAGATATTTTTTCCAGTACAGAGAGGTAGTCCATTTTATTTAAAAGGCATCTTGGGACTGTTAGTCTGTAGATGTTCAGTTGGGTGTTTTGCATAGTTAGTGAGTGAGGTTAGATAGTAGGTGCGTTTATGATAGTCTTTAATTTTTATGCTTGTGTTAGATGGAAGGGTATAATAGTTGCATATTACCCTTACACACCCTGTCCTTTGGCCTAACCTTGTTGGAATGTGTCTGGTTTATTTTAGGGAGATAATCATAAAAATTCTGGATGTGGTAGTTTTTGTTGGTTGGTTTGTTTTTTGAGATAGGGTCTTGCTATATAAGTTTAAGTTGGTTTTCAGTTCACTGTGTGGTGGAGGCTGTCCTCAAACTCCCTGTTTCAGTCTCTCCAGTGCTGGGATTTCAGGAGTGCATCACCGCAACTAGCGTGTTTTCTTGGTATGTTTTCCTTTTGTTTAAAACTTTGTTGGGAAAATCAATTTTGAAAACATCCAGATTTTACAGTCAGAGAGGACTAAGTAACCTGGTGGCCAAGTTATGGCAGAAAAAGAGGACCAGGATCCCCTGGATTCATCCAGTGTGACTTTTGCCACCCTAAAAAATGTTCTGGATGCTTCAGAGACAAATGGCCTGCTTTTCATTGTTAGCTAGGGTTTCCTGTCCCCAGTTCTGCCACTACCTGTTGGGCGCTGGGCTGCATCTTATGTGCTCCTAGGGCTTCTCTTTCCTCTTTGATACCAGACCCAGTTCACCTTATTGAATAGGCTTAGTCTTGTTTCCTTTTAAGTTGGAGGAGCCCCACCATCTGGATTTAGAGTGGACCCAAGGTCAGGAATAAAGACCAGAGAGATCCAATGGAGAAAAGGTTTCCCTCTTCAGTTCTATTTGTAATACTACTACTCCTCCCACAAAAAGCTCTACCTTTTAGTACAGTGGCCCCATTGTGTGTCCTGGGGCACTCGATTTTG